CGTCCAGAAGCCGGCGACTGATCTGCCTCGCCCTGCAAGAGCGCAATGATGGTGCCAAGTTGGGCCAGTGAATCAACGTCCTCCACAACTAAACTGAAGAACAAAAGGACAGCAACTTGTCTGTTCCCCTTCCCCCAATTCCCCAGCACTGTTCCCATCCTCCAATTCTCCAATAAAAAATCTTTCAAAAAAAAAAAAAAGAGAAAGAAAGAACATATGGAGAGACAATTTCCCAAAGTTATCCTTTTGAGAAAAACTCCTTGGTGGAACAAAACCCACAAAAAGTTCAGGTTAGAGTAATTGCAATACTGCTTAAGACAGTTGAGGAGCCAGTCCTTATTACTTATGTATATCTGCACAGATTTCTAAGTTTCATTTGTATTGCTTAAAATTTGGAGGTGGGGGATACAAATGGAGAGGGTAGTTATTTACTCTCCTTAATTCAAAGCATATATGGTGATCATCAACTGTGTATACAAAACTGTGGTGAGCTGTTTAAGAACACAGAAGGGGCTGTAGGATCTGTAGGATTGAAGGTCATCTGGTATGACCCCGTGACTTCAGGAACTACGAAGGGTCCTTAACGAACCTCTTTGTGCCTCAGTTCCTTCCTAGTGGTGCTGTGAGGATTAAAGGGGATGATGTGCTTAAGATTCTTAGCCAGCATCTGGCCCATAAAGGGCGCTTAATACATGTTCGTCATTGTTATTGTGATGGTGATGGCCGTAGCAGTGGGTGGTGGTGGTGATCTTTCATCTTATCACGCCTATTATTAGAATTATGAGGCCCAAAGAGTTTAAATGACTTAAACCAAGTTACACAGGTGGTTATTGGCAGGGCTGGGACTCTAGACAATCTCTCCCAGGCCCAGACCAGCACTTTTTCTATGCCCTAGGATATCTATCTTTACAGCCCTCAAAATGCACTCTATCTGGTTGGAGAGAAAATGTTATGTATGAGATAATTAAAGAATGATAAAGTCTGTGGTCAAGTACAAATGGAGCAAAATCAGGTGTCACAACATTTAGCACAGACAGGAAGTGCTGTGGTTGGTCCATTCCTTCCTTAACATCCCCATGTTTGACTGGCAGTGGCTACGTAATCTTTGTTACACGCCAGAAAGCAGTTTGTCATTAGCTTCAGAAGCTCAACATGACATCCTGGGCAGACACTGGACAAGTCATTTAACCCTTGACAACTTTTAGCTCCCTAATTTGCAGGGCTTACTGCCATTATTAGCTAAGAAGCACAATGTGTTACATACATGTTATTGATATTTGATATTTATTAGAATAATATGATCATTTGCTTATTTATGCCTTCATAGTGCACAATTGGGAACAGGTGTTTTATAACTGTTTACTATTCTGAAAGAGGTGACAGATATCCGTTGTGAAAATTCTACTTCCTTTCTTGACAGCATGGTTTAGGCCTCCATCCCCTCTTGCTAGGACTCCTGAATCAACCCACCAATTGATTCCCCCACCTCCAGAGTCTTAATCCCCTTTTGTGCATTCTGTATGCTGTTGACGTATTACCATTCCTCACATTCAACAGTTATCACTTCCCTACTTAGAACCTGTCACGGATCACACCTTTACATCCTACCTCCAAACTATGTTCATGCTTTGTCATTTGCCTAGAAACCCTCTTATCTCCTTCTCTGCCTCTAACCATCCTTGAAGGCTTAAGCACCAACTTTTCCTGAAATCAGCCCTATTTCTGATCCCACAAGCCAGTGTGATCTATTACTCCTTTGAACTGTCCTAACACATTCTTTGTATTTCTCCTATTGAACACATTCAGTATTGCATTAGATATTCATATGTTATTTTATCATTCCACTAGTTTGTAAACCTTCTGGGGACAGAGACACTATATACCTTTTTGACACCTCAAGTTTAAGGCAAAGATTGTATATGAGAGTCAAGGTGGTATGGGAGCAAAAGCACAGGTTTTGGGGTCAGACGTCCTTGAATTTTAATCTTGGCGTTCCCTCCCTCTTTCTGGCCTTTCTATAATCCAGGGCAAGTGATTTAACCTCATTCCAGGGCTTAGTTATTCTCATCTAGAAAATGTACTTCCCTGAAAAGGTTACTTTGAGGATTAACTTACATACAATAAATAAAGTGCTTATCAAAACATGACCCCTCAAGTACTCAGAAAAATCCTGCCGGAAGCCCACCTTTTGAGTTCTTTGTTCGAAGTCTCTTCCTGTTTAGATTACACGCACTGAAAATACCCAACCCATTTGCAGGGACACTTGGTCGGTGACACCTACCCTCAGATATGAGACTTTCTCTTTGGCCGTGACAGTGTTACTGAATCAGAATCCACTCCAATAAGCTGACCTTCTGTGTGACACATACACACTGACAGTACTGGGACGCTTCCTCGTTTTGAAGAGGGCAGAGTTTGGGTCTGTGCATTTTTAGGATTGTTGAACTCAGGTTGTGAAACCCAGCCTCATTTCAGCAATTTAGTCAGCTTTTAAAATTCAGGACACACATAATCAGTTTACCAAGCCCTAAAGCTCCTCCCCCGAAGTCCAGCAGACACTTTGGAAAGCATCGCCATGCTGCCAGGCCACCTGCTGCTGTTGGATACGGTACAGCTTCAGTGTCCTAAGTGGCTCACCGGAAGTAAATATAAGGGCAAGAGAAGGAACATGTCTGTGGGCTTGATTAGTTTCTAATCTCTCTCAGAGGTAGGCACACCACATTTACACATGCAGTTCCCTTCCTTCGCCCATTCTGGCTCCCTGGACATTTTAAAAAGATAATCAAGGTAAAGGACATTTTTTCAGGGTAAAACATGGCAGATAGAGTGTTAATTATAAGTTCAGCTGGATGTTCGCCACGAGGCAGAGGGCCTCAGATTTCTCTCAGTGCAGTCAAGTCTGCCTCATTCACGACTGGCTCTGTCTTTCCTTCCCAGCGTGAGGGAAGGGGACTTAGGAAGTTTCCTCAGCGCTCAGGAGTGAAGCTGCTGCTCCATCCAGCTGAGGCGTCAACGCCACCCTGAAACTTGTGAGGAAACTCTAAATCCAGACCCTTGACACTGATCAGCCTTATCCCTCTTCTTTAGTGAATGCGAGGTGTGACTCTCAAAGCTCCGTGAAGGCCCAATCATTAATGTTAGTAGGTACCTGCTGTCTGCCAGACTGCTAAAACGGGTGATGCGTGATCCAGACCCATATTTGAGTAGCCCCCCCCCCAAATACTCTAAAATAAAAGGGAGAAATGTGCAAATAAATTTAATGTAAAAAGCACATTAGGGAATGAGTAGCAAAATTATTAATTAGAACTCTGTTTATACTTAAAGTCAAGCCCAACGATTTGTTTTTGAACTAAAGGACACTCCTCCATTAGAGCCTGTCATTGAGAGATGTGTTTGAATTTCAAAACAATATAGTTTTTCCCTTTCTTAGCCATGACTGTTTTTGTATAATGGCAGTTATTATTAAGGTTTAGCCATTGCAATTAATCCAACCACTAAGTGTTTATTCTTAGAGATTGCTGTATCCCCTCGTACCTCTCCTTGATTTTGTTGTTTTGGCACCACAATTATGGCACCACAGTTTCCGCAAGCAATAATCCTGGGAATCATCCCATATTTCCCCTTTTCCATTATTACCACATGTAAGAAGTCAACACATTTTCTTCAGCCTAACTTCTAAATAACTCAGACCAGACCCCTCCTTTTCAGCCCTGAATTTAGACCACACGCCCATCTTATCTTACTTAAATGACTCCACTGGCCCCTATGGTTTTACTGATTAGATTCTTCAACTGCCACCCCATCCCCACTATGCCTACTGTCATGACAGGGTGATGCTTCTAGATTATAAATGCAGATTTCATGGTAGCATTCTCATATTTTGTTAGTCCTCCTTTGACTAAGAATCTATTCTTTTGATCAATGCTTACTGACTGCCTCCTGATATCAGGGTTTATATTGGATGCTGACAATATAAACCCTAACAGTTCCCAACTATAGTAGAGTATGTAAGTGCACCTATTGTTTTTGCTTTTACTCTTTCAAAAGAAGGGATTATTTGCATTAATATAGTTGCACCACTAATTTTACAGAGCTGTTTTATAACATTGATAGATGCTATTTATTCATTTAAAAATATTATGCTACTACTGAAAACAAGGTACCCAGAAACTCTAGGCACAAAAAATACAGGGAAACACATCTCACACAAGGGTCAGCTCTGAAAATCACATATAGTCAAAATTACCCCCTTAAATCAGACAGAGGTTGGCAACATCCTCTGTAGAAATATTTTCTGCTTTGTGAACCATATAGTCTCCGTAGCTACTTGTCTCTGCCCTCATAGTGTGGAAGCAGAGATAATACCTAAATGAATGAGTGTAGCTGTGTTCCAGTAAAACTTTATCTACAAAACTATGGCTCAGGGACCATAGTTTTAAGGCTCTGCCTCGACAGATGCATATTAAAGGTGTGTGCAGGCTGCTGAGGTGGTTCAGAGCAAGGAGAAGTCACACATTTCTCATCGCAAGAAATTGGGAATGGGTGACCTAGAAAGATGAATTTACAGTTCAGAACTAATTCCAAAATACAGATGAGTGGAAGCTATCGGGATCAGACAAAGTTAGAAAAGCCCAAGGAATGTTTTGCCTGGTCATTGAAGAAAAGTTTCAGACCAAAAACATGGAGATATTTTTGTTAAAAGCATCCAGGAACATTGCACCCTTAATGACAATTTACCATTAAAAAAAGAAAAGATGAAATGAACATTAGAAAAAAAATACGTCTTTCTGATGTAAACTATTTGTATTGTCAACATTCTTTTGAGGTCAGAGTTTATTACTGATTATATTGGATAAGCTTACCATATAAATTCAAAAATAAAATGTATTGAATGTAACACTGAAATTTACTTTCATTGATATTTTATTCACAGAACTTAACTTATGCGGATTGTTTCTTTCTTTCTTTCTTTCTTTCTTTTGCTTGTTTATTTTATCTAGCACCAATAGCTGCAGGAACTGGCCCAAATTTTTCTCTCTCAGACTTGGAAAGTTCTTCATACTACAGCATGAGTCCGGGGGCAATGAGGAGGTCTTTACCCAGCACATCCTCTACCAGGTAATGTGATTGACGGCTCTTAAAAAGGGCACACTTCATAATTCCACACCTTGATTTTAAGTCTTGGCCTGCTAGGCCCTTAGCAATGTGCCTATAGCAATAGAAAATACTAGAAAGTGGGTTCAGCCCCAACAGGCTTTTAGCCTCATTGCTAAATTTTGTGACAAAGGATAAAAATGATTAAAGAAGGCTTTATCCAAAAAGAGTGACTTGTGCTCAGCTGTAAGTGTTGGGTAGGGTTGGTGAGATGGAAAGGAAAAGGAATGTTGTCCTGTGTGGCGTGAAGACATGAGCAAAGTCATGGAGGAAGGACGGATGACGAACATTGCATGTTCTCAGGAAATTAAGGACAAGCCTTGACTAGGGAAAAGGGTGTGTGCATTTTGGCATGTTTGGCACAAACTTGACACTGGTGACACCAGTCCCCATCCCCATGCCCATAGCAGACATTACAGCTCAGTCCCAGCTCTTTTCCTACTGAGCATCCAAAGGTCTCAACATCCAGTCTATTGGAGTTGCCCTAAGAGAGAAACCTATTTGATATCCTGGTGTGAGGTTATAAAAGTGAACACAGTCCTATGGCAGGGCGGGGCTGGATCATAAACCCATTTGCACTGGGAGAGCTTTAAAAAAGTAAAGTAAAGCTGGAAGTGTACAGCCAGATAACCATTACAGGGGGCTTGAGCCCCTTGAGGTCACAAAGCCAAAATCAAAATGAAGCATTTTGCAAGATCCTGTTGTCTCTAGATAACCTGGACCAGAGGGAAAGGGATTAGGCATTAAACCCACAGTATTCTTTTACAAATTGGCTTTAGCACTGGACTGTGACAACAAAGAAAAGAATGGAGCAGAACAATCTTTAATGTTTGTGTACTTTGCAGAAAAACATTAGACAAAGGCATATCCCTCCGAAAGCAAGTCCCAGAGTTTTATGATTTGAAACAATGTCCAGATTATAGAAATTTTCCTTGGTAGAAACTCATTCTTACCTTGACTTTATATACGTTAACCATCATTACTTATTTTTAAAAATCAGCTTAGTCATCATGAATACCTTGAAAACAGTTGAAGAAACAGTTATTCTCTAAATATAACCACCCAAATCTGCCATCATCTTTCATATTGTTTAAATGTCCCCTGTTAGTTCACTGTCATATCAGCTCTTCAGAAAAAAAAAAGACTGAAATCCAAAGTACATTTATAATAAAAGAATGGGATTGTGAACACATTCAGGTGCTAATACATTTTGAGGATTTTGAATGTTTGCTGATGGAAGAGACACTGTGTGTAACTGCACTCAGTCAACATGAAAAAGCTTTGCAAACACTTGTGGGCAGTGATTAATTTAAAAGTTGATGGGCTGTTTGTTTTTCATACGTGTGCTGCTCATGTACCATGGGCGTCCCAGACAGTGGTCCTCACCCCCAGCCTTTGACTTCTCCAGCTGTTTTGTTGCCTTTTGTTGTGACTCTCCGAGTGGAAACCTGGTTATTAATGCCATTTACAAGGCTAGTGTTGTTTTTGTATTCTGCAAATAACTAACCCTGATAAGGAACTAATTATAAACAGCATCAGCAGTTAATACCCCAGTAATATGTTTGTTTTACTCTCATTACAGTCTCCTAGGATGATTTTTTAAAATTATTCTTTCATTATACAGACTCAGCAGAATTATCTGAGCACAGGTTAGAAAATGTGCCCAAAAGAATATCCAAGATCTACATATGGATAACCTAATCAATCAATCAATATTTGTTTGTGCTGTACAAATATTAATTGGTCACCTACTCTGAGAGAGGCACTGTATTAGGTACTTTACATACCTGATATGATTTAATCTTCATAATAATTTTACAATATAGATAGTGTTGCCATTTAAGATTAGATCAAACGAAAGCTCAGAGAAGCTAAGTAACTTGCCCAAGGTCATAGACGTAGTATGTGGCAGACTCTACATTCAAACTCAGGTCTGTTGAAATGTAAATAACATGCTGTTTTTATACTGAATCGTGTTAACAATGGAGTTCACTCTTTCAGTAAAGAACAATAGAACATTAATCCCCCCAAAAGGAATATCTAGCATCTCTACTCTTTCCGGACACTTAGCATTTGCTATCCTGAATTATTGTTACCATCTTTGAGGTATGTACAGGTCCTGCCTCCCTAGCTGGACTATAAGTCCCTTAGAGGACAGTGTCTAACTCTTCCAGTTCAGCAACAGACATTATTAGTACCAAGGATATTGTCCTCGTCACTGTGGATATAAAGTAAAAAATTAAGAGTTTTACAATCTCATGGTTAGAGGCTCACAAGTAAATGGAAAATTTCAGTGCAGGGTAGTTGAACACTCTGGAAAGAGGTATCTTGCAGTTTTCTGGGTACAGGTAAGGCTTTTAGGCTTTATACATAGTAGGGATTGCACACATATTTGGAATGAAGGTAATTTATTCATAAGGTAAGAAATTCTTACCTTAATTTCTAGGTAGAATTTCTAGAAACGCAAGAACAAATTCCACACACAAGAAGACATGGTGCATCACTCCTTAGAAGAGTATTTATCTTCCCTCTTATGTAGCGATCTTACTGCCACCCTCCTGTTTTCCTCAAATGTTTTTGGAATCAGTGTGCTAGAAAGTCAAGAGCAAGAAACCAAAATCAATGATTCATTCATTTCTAAATTTAAAAAAATAAAGGAGATTGATACTAGACATTAACTGTAGCTTCTGTACCCCTTCATAGTGAACATCTCCAAAATCATAGAAGAGGTAGTATAAAAACTGGGATAAGATATACTTTTTTATCCGAAAGAACTTTGTCAAAATAAACCAACCCTCAAGTTTGTAAAGTCAGTAAACTTTATCTTGGAAGCCCTCCACCTGTCCATCCTAGCACTTCTAATTTTTTCACTTCTGGATCTTTTCCCCTCCTCTATCTTATACCTCCACTGTCTATCCTGTGTCAACCCCTGAAAGTCCTCACTTTCAAACTAAATTTTCCCGTAATAACAGCAGACTCTGTCACTTTTGGGATTGAAAATCTGCGTGGGGTATTTGCATTTTATTAATGGATACCAAGGAAATCAAAAGTTTGACAAACTCGGAAAAATATTAATAATGGGCAAATGATGGGCAATGGAGTTTGTTGGCCTTTTGGGTTGGATCTCATTGAATCATGACACTTTGGCAAATCCTTGACACAAGTACTCATGTGGCTGCTTCTTAATCAGTAGCCCAAATCAGCAGTTTTTGAGCATATGCTATTAGCCAGACTCTGTGGAAGGCACTAGAGATCAATAGATATATAATATATATAGCTCCATCACCACAGACCTCACAGTGCCATCAGAACGTACAGGTCTTGCATTTTATTTGCCAGAGAACATGAGGAAATAATTATTTCTTCCCAATTTGTATTCTTGCAACTTCTAAAATGATTTCAGGTGACTTTCAATTTTAAAATACAACAGGTAATATTAAATACAGAAAAAGTGGCTAGAAACCACATGGAAAGATAGGAGAAATCATTATAATAGGAACCCCAACCAAGAGTTATTCCTTAAATGTACCCCTGAATTTCCTGGTTGCCAAGGCAAGAAGGGGAAGAAATAGGTTATACAATCTGCATTTTCTAATAAAAGGGAGCGATAGAAATCCATTTAAAAAGACCATATTTTTTCTGGGTTTATGTATTAGTGGGAATTTTTTTGTGTACATCCTTTTATAAAGGATATGCAGTTTTACATAAAATATAGAAAAGTTTTCAAGTAGCTATTTTTCACTGAACTTCAAGAAAAGCCAAGCAAAGAATATTTAATAAGCTGTTAAAATATTTCCTTTGAGTTCTAAGCTAGCATGCAACAGATATGTTACTTTCCTGTGGCTTGACTTTAATGAGAATAGAGCTTAAAGGCTAAGAATAATGGTATGCCACTTTAATAACTATAATTTCTTGCCTTAAATTGGGCCTTCCACATTTTTTTATTCAGATTGCTGAAATAGCCTAACTGTCGTCCTGCCTCTCAGTTCCATCCCTTCTTTTCCCTCTGCTTTTCTTTTTTCCTTTTTTTTTTTTAAAGTTTTTTTTTAAATTAAAATACAGCTAACAGATAGTAGTTTCAGGTGTATATCATATTTATTCAGCAGCACCCACCTGGCACTATATAGTGTTATTACCACATTATTGTTTATTCCCTATGCTAAAGAAGTGATCACCATGATAAGTCCAACAACCATCTGACACTGTACCACGCTATCACAATATTATTGATTTTTTTCCTGCTTTTAAAATTTTTCTATTACAGTTGCCATTCAGTGTTACTTTTTATTAGTTTCAAGTGTATAGCATAGTGGTTAAAAATTTATATAATTTAGGAAGTGATCCCCCTAACTAGTACCACCTGGCGCTATACAGAGTTATTACCATATTATTGATTACTATATTCTCTATGACTATTGATTATATAGCCCCATGACTATTTTGTAACTACCAGTTTGTATCTCTTAATACCTTCACCTTTTTCACCCTGCCCCCAACCCATTCCCATCTATCACCCTGATAGATCTAATACCCATCTGGCACCATACATAGTTATTGTAATATTTTTTACTATATTCCTTATACTATACCCTACATCCCCATGACTGCTGTGTAACAACCATTTTGTACTTCTTAATCCCTTCCCCTTTTCACCCATCCCTACCCTTCCCACTCCCCCCTTTCTGCCCCCCCTTATCTTAAAGAGGTTCCTCTAAGATTCCTTGTAATACTGGTTTGGTGGTGATGAACTCCTTTAGCTTTTTCTTGTCTGGGAAGCTCTTTGTCCTCCAATTCTAAATCATAGCTTTGCTGGGTAGAGTAATCTTGGTTGTAGGTCCTTGCTTTTCATCACTTTGAATATTTCCTGTGAATCCGTTCTGGCCTGTAAAGTTTCTGTTGAGAAATCAGCTGCCAGTCTTATGGTTGCTCCCTTGTAGGTCACTAACTGTTTTTCTCTTGCTGCTTTTAAGATTCTCTCTTTGTCTTTAACCTTTGACATTTTAATTATGATGTGTCTTGGTGTGGGTCTGTTTGGGGTCATCTTGTTTGGGACTCTGTGCACTTCCTGGGCTTGTATATCTATTTCCTTTGCCAGTGACCTTTCTAAAATATGACTTTGATGTCACTTCCTGTTTAGACTTTTGCAGGGAGTCTCCACGACTTGTAGGATAAAGTCCAGACATACAGTGTCTTCTATAACTTCCACCCCCATCTTTTGCTGTGCCCGTCTTTTAATTTCAGCTATGCCAAACACCTGGCAATTCTCTGCACGTGTCACACTTTACTCATGATGTTGTTTCTGCCTGAGATTTACCTCTCTCCAGGGAGTGATGTTCAAAATACCCGATAACTTGAGTGACACAAACATACCAATTAGAGCAGATGCTGCCCTGCTACAATGCTTGGGCAAAGTACTGGAATGCCCCCGGCTGTGCCAGACATTAACCCTTAAGGTTTTGGATCATGAGGCTTGCTTGGGGCAAACATGTGGGGGGCAACGTTTGAAGAAATTTATGGGGCTTCAGACAACGGCACTTTGCCAATTGGTAAAGAAATATTTCATTTTTTAAAAATCCAAAATGGCTGCCTAAGTGGTGCATCAGCTGAATAACAGCCTCTCTCTGCCCTTTCCTTTTTTTTGCTCCAGCTGCTTGACACTCAGTCTTGCAGACAGCTCAGGAATGATCTCCTATGGGAATCCTTTGCCAACTTCCCAGGCATATCACTGTTTTCTTCCTCCATTGAGGAACCCAGTATGTCCTATATGTGGTTCCACCATAACACCTATATTTCTCTTTTGCACAATTTTGTTTACCTCTCTGTCTTCATCCACTAGACTGTAAACCCATGGAACCAGGGGCCATGTCTGATTCATCTCTATATCCCAGCATTTATTGCAGCACCTTGCATGTAGGAGGTAATACAGAAAATATTCGATGATGAAAACACATTAAAAATTCTGTACCCTAACACATGAGAAAGAGATTTCCCTATAAGCACTACCACTATGGTATGTTAGTGACATAATTAAGACAATTACAATATTAGCAATGTGTAGTATTTTACTACCTTTTATCTTCTCTTCATGAAGCCACAAGTTGGGGGGAAAAAATTCAATCCTTTAACTGGAGCAAATGGAAACATTCTAGAAATTTCTCAACCATACCTCTCCAAAAATAAGAAATCCCTACCTTGATGGAATAGAACTCCATTTTGGTAATCTCTTTGTAGAAGAAAGGCGTAAAAGTCACTGGGCCACTGTTTTTCCATGCCCCTCATTGTCATAGGGAAATGCAGTACTTCCTCCTATTTTTGTCTCTTTTGTTCACTGTATTATCTTGTGTCTAGATCAGTACCTGGACTATTGTAGCTGTGCAGTAAATATTTTTTGAATGAACAGATGTAAGTAGAAGATGAGAAAACATGGCCAAATTAAAAAAAAAAACACAATCCAAGCTTTTCTCGAAGGGTCATGCACCCTGATTTTTTTTCTTTCTGGGGTGCCAGAAAGGATTGACCTGATAATGAGGGCAATTGCTGATGGCTACGTCTCAGCCACAGCCTGAGGAAACATGACGTGTGGGCTTACTACTGATACTTGCAGGTGGAGACAGGAGCGGGAACCAGCCACCAGTTCCTCAGAGGATGTGGCGGCAGCAGCAACTTGAGCGACAATAAAAATCAAACTCAGACCCAAGCAACACAGACCCAAGACTTTGTTCCACATCCAGTGACTCACTAAACTGGACAAGAGCCTGAAGAGTCCTAGAGCTACACTGAGTTGCCCAGTTGCTTCCTCTCTTGGCTTTCTTTCAAGCAGAGATGCAACGTCCAAGGGAAAGGTGGTTTGGATTGCCTTTAAACATGTACCCGTGTGTTATTTCAGCTCCACAAAGCGCCTCAAGTCTGTGGAGGATGAAATGGACAGTCCTGGTGAAGAGCCATTTTACACAGGCCAAGGGCGCTCCCCAGGAAGCGGCAGTCAGTCCAGCGGATGGCATGAAGTGGAGCCAGGTAAGCGGGGTGGGCACAGGGGCGTGGGGCTACCACTGTGAAATCTATTCTATAATAAGTGCCCGGGAGGGCCCACACCATGCCTAAAAGCGAAGAGCGCAAACTCTAAGCAGTTGACTTTTCGACTTTTTCACCATGAATACTTGTTTGTATCTGACTGCTGCATGTATAAAAGGGTGACCATGAAAAGCAGCAGTTCAACTGAAATGAAAGACTGGTAAGAACAGTATATGGTTTTCTACTTTGACTTATTTTTACCTAACTACAATCCAGCATTCCATTAGGTTTTGTTTTGTTTTTACACTAACTGCCTTTTGGGTTTGGTTTTTTTTGAATTGTCTTTTAATAATCAAAACAAAAGTCTATCTACTTTTTCAGCTGAATGGATAGTATTGGAAAGGAGACTGTGTTACAGTTTATATAGTACTTGAATTTTTATATCATGAGAATACTTTAAAATATTTTTTTCCTATTACTGGATGTCATCATGATTGTTTTTCTATTTAAATGAAACAGTTGCTCTTTAGGTTCATCTTTAGTGAACTAGCAAATGATGACTTCCAGTCTAACCCCCTGGGGTCGTCTTGAGAATAATGTGAATAATTCCGATAGTGGAAGCTTTCTGAAGTCTTTCTCCATGTCTAGCCTCCACCTGGGAAAGGGGGCATCTTCTTCAGTGCCTTCCCCAATATTGCAAAGTCCAGCAGGTGTAAAGGATAGAGTGTGGGCTTTGGAATCAGCTAGGTAGAGTGTAATCTTGGCTCCAGCCCCTGCTGGCTGTGTGCTTATGGGCAAATTTCCCAACCTCTCTGAGCCTAAGTATCCCCATTTTTATAATCTGTCAATAACTAGCTATTTCAGTGCTCTTGAGAATTAAATGAGGTAGCATACATAAACCATCTAAGAACTACACCCAGTACTAAGTTTGAAAAAAAAAATGTTTCTGACCATTCTCCCCATCCATGCCTCCAAGTAATTTTCTGCAAAAACAGACAAGTACCAAGAAAATCTCTGAACTAACCCCTTCATCTTTAAATCTTAACCTCTTTCTCTCCTGTATAACGTATGAAAAGACAATGCTTGGAGGGTGTGAGTATAAAGGGATAGTATGGAGGGAGATTTTGGGGGTGATGGAACTGTTCTATATCCTAATGGTGGTGATGGTTGCAGGAATCGGTACATACGGTAACATTCATAGAAATGTATACTCCTGCCTCTCTCCCCTGCCCCCAGGGAGTTTTACTGTATGATAATTCAAAACGAAGCAAAACCTCAGGCCCCACTGGCCGAGTCCTTTGCCTTGCTCCCATTCCAAAAATGCAAAAATTGCACTTTGCCTTGCTTCTACCCAATCCTCTCCCTCAACTTCTTCATTCATTCAGTTGCTCATTCAGAAATCTTCATTGGGAACTTTCTCTGGATGAAACACTGTGCCTGGTTCTGGGAACTCAAGGAGGAATGGGAACACTATGGCTCTTGCTTTCAAGGAGTTCACAGCTGGGGGTGGGAAACAGACACATAAGAAGCTCATCACACGGTGAGATGGGACGTGAATGGATGGAGGCATTAGCCTCCGGTGTCCCCTTTTTCTGCTTTTAACAACACAGCACTCATGGTGTGGTACGTCTTCTCTAAAAGTCACACATCAGCCTCACTCCACACTTACATCATGCCAGTTCACCTAAAGTAGTAAGAAATAAAGCCAGGCCTAAATGAAAAGGAGAATGCTGACTCCTCGCTACCACTAACTGCATCATCAGCACGACCTCAGTGTCGTAGTGCCAATGAAAAGTTTATGTGCTATTAAAAGATAAAAAGATGTAAAACTTTTTTGAACCCTTCTTAAAAAGGCTAATTGAAGTACTAGCCAGCGTACCTGCTTCAGTGAAAATCAGAATATGTAGGTTTGGTACATTTGAGCTTGAGTATTGTACTGATGCAGGTTTAGACATCTCAAAGCTGCTTTCATCGTGCGATGTACGTGAAGCTCCTCCACCATGGGTCCTTAGGTAGATTGCTTTGGGGCATATTTGGGGTGGTTGAATATAGAGTACTTTGAGCTAGTGACTCTTCTATTCAGAGTAATTTATTTCTCTGCACCTTATGGATCAAATGATCATGAATTTTAATATCTGAATGCCTATATCCTTTGTACTCATTAAATAACTGAAGTTTAATGGCTGAATCCTTTTGGGAGGATGGATGGATAGATAGATAGATAATAACATACATAGTATAATTGTATAATTGTGTGTGGGGGTTTCTCTTAAATATATATGTGTATATAGGTATATATATAATAACTATATATATAGTTATTTAGATAGAAACCTCCACAATTGTATAATTATATTCCTAGACTGCTTCTCTAGTCTCTATCCCTATGTCATTACAGAAAAATGCAGCTTCATGGTATATGTGTGTGAGGGATGGGGGAGGACAGTGGATAAATTTTCACTTGGCTACATTCAGCATAGAAAGTCATAATTGAAACAGGGCCTGAGGGGACGTTAAAACTCAACTGAAGGATGTTGTACATGTTCATGGTGACTTCGGTGTCATTAACTCACACCAGCCATTTTAAATGGATAATTTATGCTGCCAGATGGTCCTTTTTGGGGATTTTCCATCTAGCCCAATCCCCTTTTTGGCACAGAGAACACCCTTATGTTGTTCCCACACTGATCCGGGCCTGCATGGCTTTTCCCCAGGGGAACCGTTCATTGAGTAGGAGGCCTTTAGTGGCTCACTCATGTAAATTACCTTCAGAGCATGTTGGGAGTTACGTATATCTGAATGCTCCAGCAGCCTCTTGGTTGCCTATATTAGGGATAATTCTCTCCAACAAGTACTAAAGGATACTTTGTTTATGCCTCTGGATGTGACACGGGGAGCAAGGCCTGTACTTACTCCTCACTCAGAGAGCTTTGCATCTGTTTACCTGCCCTCAAATGCTTTTTCAGGACTCCCCGGCCAAAAGAGGGCCGAAGGTTGCCAGAAGAGACAAATTTCCTTGAGCAACAGGAAGGCTTTGGAAAGTAAAACAAACCAGACATGCAGTAAATTACATGGGCTCTTTCAAATGTCTTTTGTAGTATCCTGATCCCCATTAGTTTATCTCAGCACTTTTAGTGCACAGCTCTTATTATCTGGGAAGAAGGGCATAGGAGATTAAAGATGATGTTAGTTTAAAAACATCAGACAACCTCAAGCTGACTTCTGCTTCTCTCACAATGCTGCATTTGTTCCCTCCACTTAGTTTCATTTCCCAGTTATCTCAAAACTGGGTTAGATTTGAAGCTTTGAAGCTAATCACACACTGATGAAATGAGTCCGATGAAATTCTATCAAGCAAAAATGCACATACGATCAACTCTTGTTTATCTGTGCAAATGAAAAATTGCAGAGAAACTGATAATGCAAATACATAGGAAGAAAACCAGCAGGCAGGCGCCTACATTGAGTTAGACACTGTGCATGGTGCTTTCATATATATGGTAAAAATTATAGTTACAATTGTTTGAGTACCTACTAGGTACTACATTTATTTTTTAATTAAAAAAAAATTATCCCTCTAAAATATCCTGCCTCAGTAGAGATGAAAATTGAAAATTGTAATCTGAAATCCAAACTTCAACCTAAATCTGATTTCAAAGTATATGTTTTGTCTTACAATAACCTCTTTTACTGTAAATGTTTATGCTTGCAGTTTAAGGTTTCATGTCCTGGGCTTGTATTCAAATTAAAAACATAATAATGAAAACCAAAAAATAACTAATCAGGAAGACCTGGAAAATCCCTCAGTTTCTTTATCCCGAATCCTTGTTATACAACCTAGGCCAGGGAAGAAATGTGGGCTATTTAACACATGTAGGCTACAACATAGAAGCAAATAGTGTTAACTGTTAATAAAGTGAAATATTTATCATTTTTGCCCATGAAATCAAAGAATCGTCATCATTTAGATCTGTGTTCAAATAATAGTTCATCAGAGAGGCTCCCAGTGATCTAAAATAGCTGTTGACTCTTTTCTATCATCCTATAATTCATAAACCTGCTTTCCTTTCTTCATACCACTACCTACTGTTATCGACTGTCTTCTACTTCTAGAGTACACACTTATGAGCAGTAGAACTTAGTTTGGCTTTTTCACTGCTGTATACCCAGCATCCAGAACAATGTCTGGCACATAATAGGTACTCAATAAATATTGATTGAATGAGGGGCCAGCCAAGTGGCGTGTTGGTTAAGAGTTGGCTTGGGACGCCAGCTCTGAGCAACAGGCCCGGGTTCGGATCCCACATGAGGACCAGTGATACTATGCCCTCTACAGTTAAGTTGGTGAACAGCTCAACCTGGAGCTGGGCTGCCGTGAGTCGCCGGTGATGGCGTAGGCTGCAGTGGGGCTGGCCAGCAGCGGGCATGAGCTTTTGTGAGTTGCTGTGAGCGGGCGTCCAATGGCCGGTGAGCTCTGCCTCACCCGGGAAGAGCGCAATGATAATACCAACATGGGCCAGTGAAGCAACGTCCTCCACAACTAGACTGAAGAACAAAAGGACAGCAATTTGTCTGTTCCTCTTCCCCAATGCCCCAATAAAATCTTTAAATAAAATAAATAAATAAGTAAATATTGATTGAATGAATGAGTAAATGAAACCTATAAAGCAGAGAAATTTGGGTACTTTCAATAAATCTGAAAGCAGAATTTTCTACAAATAACCCTCTCAGAATTGATGTTTACTATAGTCTCAATCTATAGGCTGTTATTCAGTCAAATCCAATTTTTAATAAGTAGCAAGCAAAACGATTGCTAAGGCCCTGCCAGTGACCCCATTGACAAGTAGTAGAGTACAAAATTGTATTACAAGTATCCCTTGCCTTAAAGCAGCGGTTCTCAACCTTCCTAATGCCGTGACCCCTTAATACACTTCCTCATGTTGTGGTGACCCCCAACCATAAAATTATTTTCGTTGCTATTCTATAACTGTAATTTTGCTACT